CCAGCTGATTTTTTTGTATTTTTAGTAGAGACGGGATTTTGCCATATTGGCCAGTTTGGTCTTGAACTCCTGACCTCAGGTGATTTGCCCACCTTGGCCTCCCAAAGTGCTGGGATTACAGGCATGAGCTACTGTACCCAGCCTCATTATTTATTTTGATGCTAAAATAATTGCAAATGGCCAGGAATCCCTTTCTGTGACCTTTTGATATGTCCTCATTATTCGTTGAATACTTCATTACTTTCTGGCATAGCAAAGTGTTCCAGACTCATCTCATACTTCCCCTGGCTGCACTCTGGAATCAGCCATTTCTCTGAAGGAGCCCTGGTTCCATTATTGTTTATCTGTTTATTATTAATTTTTGAGATAGTTCTGCTCTATTGCCCAAGCCAGAGTGCAGTGGTGCCTTCTTGGCTCACTGCAAGCTCGGCACCCCCCAGGTCAAGCAATCCTCCCACCTCAGTCTCTGATGTAGCATGCCACCACATTCAGCTAATTTTTGTGTTTTTTGTAGAGACGGGGTTTCACTGTGTTGGCCAGGCTGATCTTGAACTCCTGGGCTCAAGTGATCCACGTGCATCGGCCTCCCAAAGTGCTGGGATTGCAGGCATGTGCCACCATGCTTGGCCTGTTTTTTTATTTTTTGTAAATTATTTTATGATTATTTAGAAGGACTACCTTCAAACCAGTACAAGTATTTCATAAATAATATCTTGTTGTTTTGTAACCAGTTGAGTAATTTGTTGCAGAATAAGCCACCCCACATCTTTCAGCAAGAAAAACGCTAACTCTGAACAGTAAAGAAATTACACAGTGAGTGAGGACACAATTAAAATGTGCTTTAAATATTTTTTTGAGGGGAGAGGACACCACACTTCTCTACTCAATAAAGAGAAACAATTTTGCAGTCCAGAGGTCTTTTATTTTTTCACACCTATCATACCATGAATTCATAGGGAATAGGTTCCAGCAACTCAGGCTCCTTCCCATTGGTTCTCACACAGTGTGCTTCCCTGGTGGAGTAGGCTGGTGCTTCAGCTGAACCTAGGTACCTTTTTCTTTAGCTTGCTTCTTTTTCTGATCATCTTCTTTCATGCATTTCAGAAGCTATCTTGGGTCTCAGAGTGCTTAATATGCTCAATGTGCATATTAATTATCTTGGCAAGAATTTTGCCCTTAATTTGTTTACAATAATGCCAGCAACATGGGTAACATTGTAGACTCTTCCAGTTTTGCCCTGGTAATGCTTGTGGGGCATTCCTTTTTGAATAGTACCCATCCCTTGATGTCTACAATATTGCCTTTCTTATAGATTCGCATGCATGTGGCCCAAGGAACAACTCCATGTTTTCTAAAAGGCCTAGAGAACATGTACTGGGTACTTTTTCTCTTTCCCTGTGTTTTTCATTTTGGTGAATTACTGAAAGATGGCAGTACTGACCAAAAGTGCTGGTTCCATTTAGTGGTGAATGGTATTTAGAAACCAAGATCTCAGTGCCAGGTGTGCTTATTGCTACTGTGGTATCATTCCTTCTAGGCCCTCTCAGAGTCCAGTGCTGGGAAATACATATTTGTGTATATGTCTCTGCACATATCTATTTCTGTATCTGTCTATCTACATAAAAATAAGTTCATCCAGATACTTTTAATTGCAGTCGAATACCACAGGGTTCATTTCTGCCTTCTCCCTTTCCATATTTGTATTTCTTCTCTGACAGTAAGAAATTGGACTCCCATTATCCACAATATGTTTATGTAATTGCTCATCATAGAATACACGTAGTATTCTAATAATAGCAGTTTCAGATTTGTAAATCCATACCTCTGTGGAAAATAAACCTTCTAATTAGAGCTCAGAATTTTTTTACAGTTCTTTTTATATTTAGCCAGAGGGTATAGTCAAAATACTATGTTCAAAAGTTACTTGGGTCAGTTCTACCCTTCCTTCCCCCTCCTTCAGTGTGGTTATGATATTCATTTAAAATAACAGATTCATTTGTTTGTGTTTGTATTCATTTGGGTTTTATTTTCCCCATCCTTGCTGATTTTAAAATTTTATTTTCATTAGGCGAAACACAAACATGGTTCTAAACATCAGAATTTTACAAAAACAGACACTTAGAAGTGTTACTCCTCCCCATCCTGTCTGCTCTGTTTCCAGTACCACCTCCCCACCCAGTTTTATCCATCTCCTTTGGGTAGCTAGTCTGATTTGTTTCTGGTTTTTCTTCCGGTGGTTCTTTTTGCACAAATGAATAGGTACTTGTATATTTCTTACTCTTCTTTCACACACAAAAGGTAGCACATTAGAGGTACTCTTTTGTACTTTGCTTTCTTTGCTATGTGTGTGTATGGATGAATATATACACACACACAAAGAATACATATAGTATAGCATATGTAGAATAAATATATAGAATATTCTACATAGTCTGTACTATGTATATATTCTTTGTACAGATATAGAGAGAACACTAAAAATAATTGTGATGTAATTGTGATTTTATTTTATTATTATTTTTTTGAGATGGAGTCTCACTCTGTAGCCCAAATTGGAGTGCAGTGATGCCATCTCGGCTCACTGCAACCTTCACCCCTGGAACTCAAGCAATTCTCCTGCCTCACCCTCCCAAGTAGCTGGGACTAGAAGCATGCCCTACCACACCCGGTTAATCTTTTTGTATTTTTAGTAGAGACAGGGTTTCACCATGTTGGCCAGGCTGGTCTTGAACTCCTGAGCTCAGGTGATCTACCTGCCTCGGCCTTCCAAAGTGCTGGGGTTACAGACATGAGCCACCGCGCCCTGTATGAGCCACCGTGCCTGGCATGATTTTAAATATGTATCACAATTTATCCATTCATCTGTCAATGGGGTTATTTCCTTATCTCGGTTATTGTGAATAATGCTGCACTGAGCACGTGAGTGCAGATGTGTCTTTAAGGTACTGATTTCATTTCCTTTGGTATATA